AGTCAAACTGTAAATACCTTGTCTTCCATGGCTTTCTTAACAGCACTTGCACTTCGCCATCTGCAGAAAAGAAAAGCGCTTACTTTCAAGTTGCAATAAACCGGGTAGTTCTTGTACGTTTGTAACTCACGATAGTGCAGGGAAAGTCTTTTCAGCGAATTGTTAGTTGAACAGGTCATTTTGGTTATTATGGGTTATGCTGTTGCCCTTGGTAGCATGGTAGTTAATCTCAAAGTTACCCCCAGCATTTCGACGGTATCTCTGCTGATACAATGGAAATCGTTTGAGTTCCAAAGAGGAAAGGAAGATAATTTGCATTCTCCAGTTGATTTTCTTGAGATCTGACTGACATTTTTCTTTGAAAACAAGACAAAAATTCTCGAGTCTCGAACGTCTTATCGACTTTCGAGGGACTCACTGCCATCATATCTCCGAGTGCCACTGTACTACTAGCGACAAGGCATGATAACACTTATCGAAACGAGCAAACAAATGAAGGAAAGAAGAATTAAAAGCTTCACCTGCTGTCAAACTCGTCTCTTTGGCCTCCAACATGGAGCATAAGAAGATCGTAGATCTGCCAAATGAAAAGCAATGACGAAAAGATGAACAATTAATTTAAGTTTTCTACATGTAAAACTATTTCAGGAAAGGTTGTCGAAAAGGAAAAAAGCCTAAAAGAGCATGCGAAAACTCCGATAGTTTTTGTGGGTGATTTTCAGAGCACACTTCCCTGACTTCTGGATTTCGGGCAAATATGAGAAAACGACTTTGTAAGGACGTGGCATTGCGGGTTTGATAAATGTATTAACTTATTTGACTTATTATTTTTCACTGATTACCGGACACCCACGAGTTTATCGCGTTCACTTTTGTCCTTTTTTCCGACAACCATTCTCACAACTACTGTAAATGCATAGTTAGAGGCACCGATTGTAAAGCTGCAACCTAGTCACAAAAGCAGATAAAAAATCAATTTGAAAATTGTTCATTACCTTAATAATAATCAAAAGCGCCTTAGTGTGATCCTCGTGGTGGTCAAGGAGATGAGCTAATAAAACAATGACAATAAAATTCTAGTTAGTATACTGTAGTACATCAAGCGAAACAAATCTCATCCTTAGGCAGGGCTCGAAATGAACGCTCGCCACCTCGCGAGTGATTTTTCTAATCTGTGAATGAGAAAAATATTCATTAGCAAACGTTTGCGAGTTAGAATCATCCATGTCTCCCAAACATCAATACTAATCTTTATTTCAGATAAAGTCATTGACATTTGAATGAATGAATGAATTCCTTATTTATATTGCGCCCTTTCCATACAATATTCAAAGGCGCAGTACCCCCCATCAATTTGATAGACAATACACAAAGATAAACCACAACACCGGACACTACGTGCCCCACTCTTTTCGAACAGTGTGTGGGTTCTTTAACGTCCCACAAATTTTTTATCACATACAAGGCCTTGTGAGACGGGACCTCTATTTATCGTCCCTATCCGAGAAGACTAGAAAGTCTAACCATTTGCAGATATTATTACAAAGGCAACATTTTCTCAGTTATTTGAAGACCCTGAGTGTTAGTCCGGCCAACCTCCCGCACAACAGACCGGCGCTCTACCAATTGAGCTAACCGGGAGGCGGTTAGAGATAGAATTCTTACAAAAAAATTGCAAGAAATTCTTACTAGAAATTCTTACAAGAAATCTTACAAGCAAAACTTTGCAAGTGGACTAAAGAGCTAACTTCGAGCCCTGCTTAGGAGACTATTGATCTACTCATGCACACTTGCTCGTCCACGAGCATGCACTCTCACCCACTCGCTCGTGAGTGTATTTCAATACAAGCATTTCCAAATTACACGTGAATGACACGCCTATCAAGCTGCAGAGTATATCTCAGTAATGTACGTATTTGTCGCTGGATTACCTAACAGTTTGTGGATTGTCTCTGCTATCCTTGCTCGTGAGTTTTGTTCTCCCATGGACACATCTGAGAAAAGGATGATAAAGCTTTATTATTTTGAGCCCAGCTGAGTTTGAGCTGGCAGTAAAGAATAATGTAACACCAAAACTAACCAACTCCAGTACCTGGATCCATTGTGATAGTGTTCTGAAACCGTCCCCGACTTACGAGAGTCTTCAGGCCTCTGTAAGATAACATTAAAAGTTAGCCATAGCAAAATCTACCACCATCAACGAAAAAGTTTACACCAACTCTTACATGTTTTCAAGTGGAGGTCTCTGCCAATTCGGTAAAAGAACGGCTGCACCAGACAGACAGCCACAAATTATTTTTAAACACTGTTGAAGCTCCTCCCTAAAGAAATAAAAGTACAAATTGATTAAAACATTCTACAGGCAAAGATAGGGCGTACTGCCCTAAAGTTAATTGTGAGTGGTCAGTAATGAGTGATTCCTTTGTCAATGTAACGTACTTGTGATAAGAAAAGAAGTCGTCACTATCTCTCCTTTACTGAAGTAATGTGATTTAAATTATTGATAATCAAAGGCTCTGTGAGCCAACTCGTGAATTGGATAAGCCAATGTCAATAGAAATGGGTGTTTGATTTCCATACTAAGGTATGAATCGTTTGACTGATAAATGAGCATTATGAGGAATATGATGTGAAACTAAATTAAGCCTCAAAGACGGAAAATATGACCTGATTAGGATTTGGTGCAAGACAGTCA